TTTTTTTTTATGAAGATCTACCCAAGAGATTTTCTTTCCCATTAACTTTTTTTCACAGCAATACTACTTCCTTAGAAAATAAAGGACATGCCGTTTTTTTATTATAGTAGAGATAAATTATCGTGCCAAAAAATAGATAATAATTTATAATTACCTATAAATGTACAATTTCTTCGCCTACTTCCTGCAACAGACACTATTCTGTTTTGCTCCACCCCTGCGCCACAATAAACTGCTACATCCTGTAACAATCACATTTTCTTGACTTTCAAGGTAACCCTACGGCTACATACCTTGCTACTCCCATATGCAGCATGCACCTTGATTCCCATATCCACGATGTGTTTCAGATGAAGTGATTTCTGCTTTAAGGGATCGGTTGAAAATGATGGATTGAATAACAGGAGACCATGTGGGAAGCAGTGTTGTGCCAACCATGCCGACACTACCCTTTGTTGCATATCCGGACGTGCAGTGAGGTAAAGAATCACGAAACCCTGGAACTTTGTCGTGAATACCGGAAAAAAAGGATAATAGTTGAAAAACTCGCCTGATCATGCCAATATCGCACAGTATCTACAGCTCCTGGGCGAACGCGAGGATCTCTGCCAGTCACGGACACCGATGCTGTGAGAGAGCCATCTACAGAGAAGACTACGCATCGAGTGGTAGAAGGTACAACTGCCACAAATGAGTCCAAGTAAGAACGATCGCCATGCACAACCATCTAAGGAAAAGACTATTAGAAAGGAGTTTGGAAAGAACAACAAGGCTTTTTAAATTCTCACTTTTACTGAGTGAATTCCACATGGTAATGAAGTCCCTAATGATAATGACAGCCGTCCGTGGGAATCGGTCTCAAAGACGCCAACTTCATACCATTCTCCCCTAAAATAAAAAAAGAGGATGAGCCTTATTTTGCAACGTCAAGTTTCCAAAACTGGTCAATCACGACTATGTTCGCTTACTCAATGAAAGACTTTGATGCGAAGCCACTTGGTTGGTAATGTCAATCAATTTCCAATAGCTTATTCATTTCATGGCTATCGAGGATAAGAGTTATGAGCTGACCTTTGAGGGCAAATGAATGTAGTAACGAGCTCTCGGGTAAGCGCTGTTA